ACTACAAATAGCGCCCACCTTAAGACCACAATCGCAATTGCAACTACTTGAGGGGGGTTGATGCAGGGAGACGAACCAGCTCCGTGGTTACCGCGCTAATCTACTGACCGGAAAATCCATGGTTCGAATCCGATCCTTGGATCTTGGCTGCTCCTGTCTGGGCTTGGGAAACTTGACAGTATCTTGACCCTCGTGGTTCCTCCGGGCGGCTAGGGACCGAAATGCTACAGCTGAAGGACTATTATTATACATTATTCTATACTTATACGGGCGAGAAGGCTCAGTGGTCAGAGCACGAACTCATTGACCGGACATGGTTCGGTTCGAACCCGACCTCTGCCTCTCGACTCCCCTGCCTAGACTTGGGCAACCTAGCAGTATCCCAGCCCTCGTGCAACCTTCTGGTGGCATGGCAGTTAGGCACCGAAAGTGTGTTGCAACTGAACGGTATACTTATACGGGAAATGTGTTAACTTTTAGCGGAGATTTCGTTCTGTAAGCGAAGTTGACTGAAAAGCTCGACGAAAGCTCCACTGAAAAAGACGCGTATGAAGTTAGTGTTGATGAAAGCCTCAGCTGATTCTCTCGTCTTCTGGGATTCTTCATCTGAATGTGCTGCACAAAGGCCGTCTCATGATTCAATTAGAACGGTACTCGAAACATTGTAATATGTTTTCTGGACATAGCACACTACTCATTAGGTTGCTGAAAGCCTTTTGAAAGTCGAACACTAACTTCTGTCTTCTTGTGGTCCACCAGGTAGACGTGATCCCCGACTTTTCATTAACCGTATATTCTGAGTAAAATCAGATGTTAGTTCAGGAAACTAGTGAACAAGATATTACGAACCAAAACTAGGCAACCAGTTTAGTAATACCAACTCGCCAATGAATGCGCAATCTCAGCGAAATACACTCATTTGCATACTAATTTGGTCTTGCGAGAGACTCACCTGGAACCCAGCTGTGATGTTTCCAGGCAACTGAATGCGCTGCACCAGGCCTCCTCATGTCTCAGTTGCTACGATATTCGAGATATCGCGATACATGTAATGCACTACTCATAAGGTTGCTGTCAAAGAATTTTCAGCAACCTTATGAGTAGTGCATTACGAGTGCGCAATCTTGTTAATTCCGAAATCGTATCCGATCGGCGTTGATGGTTGGAACCAGGTCACCTAATTCTCCTTACTCATGCTACTAAGTGAATTCACGACTTTCATAAGTCAAAATTTTGTCATTGGCTGATCAGCACGCATTCGTCCTCAGTTGGGTTGGTCTGGAAGTCCTCCTGTTAACATTCAAAAGCCAAATATTTACAGTGCATTATCCTTGCACACGTTCACACACAGCATACTTTTGTGCTGCCACACTGCTCACTCTATCGATTAGTCCGATAGAAGTAATCTGGTTTGCTTCCAAAATGCTCATGGATTCAACTCACAGTTTCTAAACGAGCGTCTGTGGCTCATAAAATATTCATTTTTTGACCAGGAACGTCCTGGTGAAACACACAGTTCCAGTGAATGTTCCAGATATGGTTGTGTTATGCTACTTTGGGCAAATTAGAGTCCGAAACCTACCGATAACGTGTGGATGGTCAATCAACACGATCAACAAATTGTGGGTTGAGGGCATTTCGCCTTATAACACGATTCCGGTGCCCAGCTGACATGCTACCCGAAGGAGGCACGAGGGCTGTGATACTGCCAAGTTGCCCAAGCCTAGTTAGGGGAAGTCGAGTGGCAGAGGTCGGGTTCGAACCACAGACTCCCGGTCAGTAAATTCGTGCTCTAACTGCTGAGCCATCTCGCTGTTCAACACTGGTGTTTCGTTACCACATTACTAGAGAATGGAAGCCTTCACATCACGGATCAGAGAAGTCCTCTGTTGATTCCCCCTGTGAATCAACGGTGAGCAAGGGTAACTTTCCTTGTTTTCTGACTGCTCATGAGTAACATGACTTACACCTGTTTATTATGACACTGTTTCGTTTTCTTGCTGCTCGTTTTTCCCCGCTTTGTTCCTACTTAAGGTCTGCTTATCCCTCAGTAAGTGTTGTCAATATTTGTTGCCCGTCTGTCATGGCCTGCAAGTTCGCCTCGATTGGACCTATTTTTTGAGCGCCCACTCCGACGGGGAAGCGAGCTGACCGGGTATTGAACCCGGATCCTCCGGACGGCAGGCGAACGCGCTACCGACCACACTAGCCTGACGCCTACGGCGCTGATTATCTTGTATTACCCATATATCGCGCCTGCCAGATAACCCTTGCTGAGCTTTGTTTTAAACGGACGAAACCGCGCAATCTGATCTGTCACGCGACACGAACGGCTGCGTCGACGCCGACCGAAGGACAGTCCCTCACATCCCGAACGTACTGACTCCTGCGCCGTTACGGCCAATTCACACTGTCAGACTGCCCCTATATGTATGCTTGCACATCGTTTGGTACTTACTTGCTGTTGCCCCTATAGAATTCCGTGCTACGCCAGTGACTACTTCCCGCTCCTGCTGATTGCCTCATTGTTGATTGTACGTTTGCTTAATTCATGATGCTTACTAATCCGTTTGTCTGTAGAACCAGTTCGTGTCAGTCCTCAATATATCATCTGCTGCCCCACGTCCGTCTGCTCCTATTGACTACTGGCTGCGAACTGCGTATAATCCAATAGTCGCAATCGTCCTGTGAGATCCATAACCGTCCGGATCTTACATCCTCTGTTTGTCCATTAAACCGACACATTTCCGCTAATTGTGGGGCGGCCAAGATTTCATCAGCTTCAACGTTAGCCTGGCGAGAAGGAGTTCATTGGATAGTGGTCAACTGATGGGCTGGTTTCATCTACTGACCGGGAAGATGATGCGAAAATCTGTGAAAGAATGGTTCCGGTTATTCTGGATTAGTTGGTTTTTAGTCTTCAGATACAGTGCCCTTCCAGTGCCTAACTGCCATGCCACCCGAAGGAAGCATGAGGACTGGGATACCGCCAGGTTGCCCAAGCCCAGACAGAGGAAGTCGAGAAGCAGAGGTTGGGTTCGAACCACGGACCTTCCGGTCAGTAAACTCGCGCTCTAGCCACTTGTGCCATCTCGCCCCCGAGGAGGAAGATCAGTGGGTGTGATTCGCGTGGAAGACCGTTCACACAAATTACTCGAATCCTGGAAGTAGTTCGCATGCGTTTCGAACCTCTGAATTGCAAATTCGTACTTCCAAACCGCCTATCCTCGTGTATCACTTGGAAAGCCGATTAACAGCCGCTTGAGTTTGTTGCTTTGTTTATGCGACTTTGCAGTGTGCCGTAACTCAGTGCACGTAATGTCGACATACAAATAATATGTCAACTCGCACCATTTGTGACGTCAGAAGCGAAGTTCCCAAACGCCAAAGTACCGTATGTGCAAGACAACTGTGCGGGGGGGAGACTTGGCCCTCTTCATCTCCAGGCATTTGATCATCGGTGTCTCCACAGCATACCAGGAGTAAGCTGAATGTGGCGCAAATAAAGGTTACATAGTGAAGAGGATTACCCAATTGCCTCCTCCAGAAGATACTGCTGTTTTCTTGACAGAAGGTTTCTTGAGAACTCTCCAGCAGTCACTCTATCGGTCTCGTCATTCTTGAGGTTCGTCAGGTGGACGTGGTCTTTGAGTTTCCATCAGCCTTCTGTGAACGCTAACTTTTATGTAACTGGCAAAATGAGGCGTTGTCTTCCGTTCGCGAGAAGTAGCGCACCATATGGTGACGCGAAATCAAAGCGAAAACAGTTCCAACTTCGTATGAGGCCCAAGAGATTATGTGGTTGGAAGCCTGAAGTAGACAACAATCAATCGCCCCTAGCTGAACGATTATGGGGGCGAGATGGCCCAGTTGGTTAGAGCGCGAAACTACTGACCGGAAGGTCCGTGGTTCGAGCCCGATCTCTGCGTCTCTCGACTTCCCCTGTCTAGGCTTGAGCAACCTGGCAGTATCCCTTGTGCAACCATCGGGTGGCATGGCAGCTAATCACCGAAAGGGTTTTACAGCTAAACGATGAGGAGGGTAAGGGTTCCTGGCCCGACTGACTCGCTAAATTTTACGTGTCATTGTTTGCTTGGCCTATATTGAATGATATTGGCTAATGATGCGAGGTATTCCCCACCTATTACGTCTTGGGCTGACACGTCAATCAGAACATTTATCCTTAACATGTCCGAGTTTTTCCAACATCATGTTCTCTACTTTCCCTGTTTCTTTTCACTCCGCACTAAGACATTCCTTTACCACGGTTCTATGGCAGTTAGGAGACTGTGCGCATTCTTGGTGCACAGCTATGAATGATGATCCTGAGCGATGTTGCTTCATTTCATCCTCCTCACTCACTTGAAGAATTTCTGTAAGGTCGTACGAAGTTTTCGAGTCTTTTCAGTGGTCTGAGAAGCTACTGATCCACGCTTCTCGCTTCGTATACCCGTAAATTTCATCACTACAAGCGAAGATGTGCCTGAAACTGGTGAGATCTTGTGGTTCAGATAGCACAAAGACATTGGGTGTCGCAGTAGACGACCCGTCGTTAAAATCTTTAAAAAGGGTTCACTGTGTTCCGCGCGCTTGAGAAGTTTCCACCCATCAGAACGCTGTGGAAGTTCCCATTGAGGGATGACAAAGCTGTGGCGGACAAACTGTTGGTAATGTGCTGGAATATTGGTAGCTCGGATACACTGGTTGGTAATTGATCGGGTGGCTGTTGATCTGTTCACCGAGCTTGGCAATCGATTTGCAAATATTTTGTCATTATTCGAGGAAGCATCTTCAGTGAACTGTTGGGTGAACGGCTCCTCTCTTTGAGGACGACAATTTCAAAAGTAGTGTGGCGGCATAATGCAAGACTGCAACGCAACACAGATTGTGATCGGACCAATCGGAATTCAGGCGTGATCATTATCAATGACCAATCAGGTTACAGCTCAAAGCTGCACGCGCGAAGAGAAGAACTACGCTCACTGAAGAGCTCACTGAAGATGTCTCCTCAAACGCTGACGAAACGACTGCAAATCAGATGCCAAGCTCGGCGAACACATCAACAGCCACCTGATCAATCACCACACAGTAGATTGCTCCAGGGACATCTTTAGACATTCCTAAGACAGCTTAATATAGACTGTCGCTCCAACGAGACGACACATTCAGCTGGGGAGGATAAACGAGAGATGTAGCTGAATGGTAATTCACTAATAACGTACAGTTTGGTGACTAGCTCCAAGTGATACTGATGAGGGATCAAGGTTTACTAACAGGCTCCAAATTGTTAGAGAGCGGCTCATGGTTTTTCACCAGCTGAATGTG